CTTTAAATTATAGTTATATTAATTTAAAATAAGCTCATTTCACTGGAAAAAAAAGAATAATCACAAATTTTCCAATCAATAATGTTTTAAACTACTAAAATGATATATTATTACATTATCATTTAATTATGGAATAATAATTTTGTTAATTTTTTTGTAATTATTTATATTTATAGTATATATTTCAATTTTAGGAATAATTTTGTATCAAAAATGTGTTTTTGTCCTCTCATCTTGGAAAATATAGGTTTTTGCCACTTTTTGCCAATTTGCTTGGCAAAAACCTGTTTTTGCCAGGACGGTTTTTACCGGTATTTACCATGGTTTTTTCCACCTGTGGCAAAATCTTGCCAACCCTGGTTCTTATTTATTAATTTATTATTATTTTTAAAAAAAAATGAAAGAGATAGAGACTTGTTTCTTAGCTATTCTGGAAGATCTTCAGCCTCTGATTATTGATCAAGAGTTTCACAACATAAAAACTCTAAAACAATATTTGCAAAGGTAAAGAAAAAAAATAGCAAATTCGCAAACGATTGTTAATATTTAGCAGGATGTTGTTGGAATTATATAAAAATTTAAAGATCAGAAACTTTTTCTAACAGTTCATTTTGTAAGTGCCAATTTTTAAAATATTTGCTTACCCCTATAATACGTTAGCCCGATTTGCGTGTTCTATAATGCTAGTTCGACAGAAAACACAAGATCGGTATTCCACAGTAATTATATAACTAGGACATATTAGTAAAATTGGAAATATCTAAGTTGTTGTTGTTGTTCATTTACGTCGCACTAGAGCCACACAATGGGCTATTGGCGACGGTCTGGGAAACATCCCTGAGGATGATCCGAAGACATGCCATCACAATTTTGATCCCCTGCAAAGGGGATGGCACCCCCGCTTCGGTAGCCCGACGACCTACACGCGAAGTCGAGCACTTTACGGTAGAACAGTTTAACAAGGACCGATACCGCACACTGATCACAGCCAGTGATGCTTGACTTCGGTGATCTGCTGGGAACGGTGTCTTAACGATCAGTCCAATGCGGGACGGGAATATCTAAGAATAATAAGCTAAATTTATATCAATCAAAGTTATAAAATAGTAAAATGATATTAAATATTCTTATAAAAAATTATTTTCAAAAACTTCTTTTTTGTAACTTAATAGAAAACAATATCTCAAATCATAATATTAAACTATTATAAATATATCGAACAGTTATCTAGAGAGATGCACTAGGTCTTACTTTGTACTGATATCCTGTATACACCGACAGTATATTTTTATAGTATTAATGTTTAATAGTAAAGGATAAAATTAATATTCCCTTTTGTTCATATTTCTATCTTTCTTTTAAATAAACTTTTAATTTCAAGTATATTTTCAATCACAAAACATAATGCTATTCAGTAAATATAATCATAACTACATAGATTATTAATTGACACAGATAATTAGAATATAATTATTATTATACCCATATGAAATCTAATTTTTAAGAATCACAGTTGCAAGTTTTGAAAAAAATATGCAAAAATACATAGTTATAGGAATAAATTTGATATTTGAAATCAATCTCAGTAATTTTTTACATTCATATTGCTAAAAATTTTTCCTGTAGACCAATACTTCATTGCAATATTTGTGTGATAACATAGCTATCAACAACGCTTAACTAAAACTTATAATAAAGTTTTAACTTAAAATAAAATAAAAATTTTTTTAAACTTTTACTTTTTGTGTTTGATAAGATTTTTGATTTTATTTGAGTTTAAAAATCTTAATGAATAGAAGCAATAGTAGGTATTTTACAATAGATATACTTGTGCATAGGTATAGAATTTATAGTACATAGTAATTGTAAACCATACGTATCAAAAGATTATTTTTGAAATCATAAAATTTTTAAAATAACATCTTGAGAATGTTTACAACAGTGGCTGATTTAATAGAGCCGTAGTAGGACTGTTCAAGGTAATTTTTTTATTCTGCTAAGATCATAAATATAGAATTCTTTGAAGGAAAAGAAATTTTAATATAAAATTGCATTTTCTAGCATAAATATGAGTTATTCAATAAATATCATTTAATTTAATCCAAATTACATAAATTATTAATTGGCATGGATTATTAGAATACATTTAACATAATANGCGTCTTATGTACCTTGGCCTATGGAAAGAGAATTCCAAACACTTGTCATGGGGACATCTTGTTTCACAAGTGAAGGATTTATCCTCTTTTATTATGCCTAGTGATTATATGTCACTAAGATATGCTTTTCACAAGCCCTTCAAGATCCATTTTCCTACTAGAGATGAATGGTTCAATTCTCCTCGGTGGCTTAAAGGCAAATGCCTGATATGGTACACTGATGGGTCAAAGATTGGTGCCAAATCAGGAGCAGGAATTTACTGCTCCAATGATGGTACCAAACTTCACTTTCCCCTGGGAAATTATGCCACCGTTTTTCAGGCTGAGGTCTATGCCATTATCTTGTGCTGCAAGTTATGCATAGACAAAGGATATCAAAATACGACTATCCGCATCTGTTCTGACAGTCAGGCTGCTCTCCTATCACTGTCAAGGTGTAAATTCACCTCTTTGTTAGTGTGGGAATGCTTCTCGGTCCTCTGTGACCTGTCCACTCATAACAAGGTATCCCTGCATTGGGTACCAGGACATATGGGTATCGGTGGAAATGAGCTAGCTGACGAAGCAGCACGGGCTGGCTCTAATGCAATTTTCTGGGGCCCTGAACCTGCGCTGGGAATTTCTCCCTCCTCATTTAGGGCAACCATATTCAAGCTCTACGGCAAGATCGCCCATGAGCAGTGGCGCGCTGCTGACGGTCAAAGACAAGCTAAGGAGCTGAATCGAGACTGTCCTAGTGTACGTCAAAAGGAGCTCTTAAAGCTTAACAGAAACAGTATAAGGAAGATCATTGGTCTTCTTACTGGTCACTGTATCCTCAGAAGACACCTAAACATTATGGGAATTGAATCAAATTCTCTTTGTCGGGGATGTCATCTAGAAGAAGAGACATCACGACACATACTCTGTGATTGTGAGGTCTATTCTGCTCAAAGATTTGAGCATTTAGGGCGACATTTTGTCAACGCCTGGGAGCTGCAAGACGTTCCTGTAAGGTGTCTGCTGAATTTCATCTCAGCTATAAGACTCTCATGCTAATCACGGGGTTCGGGTACAATAGACCTCTGGTCGACGTGCCTTGCTCGTCAGAGATGCCCAATCTTTACATCTTAATCTTAGTTAGTCCAAGTAACTTTTCAAACGTGTTCCTGGAGGTTATTGCTGGTTTTCCAAGTTTCATAAAATCCAGATCTTTTTAATATGATATTGTAACAACTCGCAACTTTCAAATTGTAATTACTTTGGCATGCTTTATTTGTGCCAACTTTATTGTAAATCCAAGCTAATTTTTCTATTGTTTTTTGGCACTATTCATACACTCCTGATATATTTAACATGTATAAATACGACACTTGAATCACGCATTTAAATGTGTGCTTTATTTGTGCCAATTTTATTGCTATGCAAAAGATTTTTTACATCCTATTTTAACAGCTATTGTTAGGCTTTACCACAAGGTTTAAAAAATCCTGATATTTTTAATCCGGTATTATAACGAAGTTTTCCAAATCAGGCATTTAATCACCACTTTTATTTGGACCTATTTCATCATCAATCCATGTTATATCCCTTTTTTTTTTTGGCAGTTGCAAGAATTTATTTCCCTGTGCTTTTTGTTTCTTTTTTAAATCTCATTATGCTTAATAATAGAATATTATTCTGAAAAGCGAAACTCGAATGTGGTATTTTAAACTGCTTACTGCTTTTTATATTAATTTCTAATTTCTTTTAGTTTAAAAAATTGTTTTAAGATTTCTTTTGTAATTCAATAAAATGAATTTCCTGAAGTTAAAAAAATACACTAAACTGAACCCCAACCAGTGTTTTCATCTCAGAAAAAAAATGGGTGAGAATTTCTCACCCTTTCTCAAAAACAGGGTGAGATTTCAAAAAGTTAAGTGAGATTTCAAAAATTTAAAAAAAAAAAAAAAAACGCGAAGAGACTTAAAAAAAAAATAATTTCTTTAATTATGATGCATTTTTAACATCTTCTAATTTTTAAAGCATTGAATATTTTTGCTGCATCATCATATGGAAAATGTTCTACAGCTACTTTTTCATCAGCTATTCTCATTAGGTTGCTCAAATGAGTATTTGTTTCGTTTGGATCGCTTCTACCCACATTTGTTTCATTTTCATTTGTCCGTTTCGGAGTAGAAGATATTGGCTTTACAACGTATTTGTCCATATTACATTAACGAGCAAAAACTTTTAACGTCTTACATGAAGAAACCTTACCTATGGTAAACACGTGGTTGCAAAGAAATGCGTTCTGAAAGAGGTACCGTGGTTCGGAAGGATGGTGTTCTGTTGTTCTTAAAGGTTCTGATCAATACTGGTAAATAGGGAAGCTAGATAATGGGGCAGAGGTTGAAAATAATAAAAGATCCAGGAAGAAAAGTGAAACGGATTTTATTCTAAATGGCGCAAAAGAGAAATTTTTTTCAAAATGCGAGAAATTCGCGAATTTTGAAATTTTTTTATGGAATGCGCGAATTTCTCGCGGTAATCATTTTTTAATGCGAGAATATAAAAAAATATGCGAGATTCTCGCGTTCTCGCGCTGTAGTGAAAACACTGATATTACACAATGTCAATGATATTTAGCTGTTAAAAATACCTACTTATGATTAAAACAAACTTTGAGACTAATCAGCTGACAATTTAATTTTTGGCAACTATTAATGTTTACTTACAATTAAATAACTATGGTTTCCTAGTTTAAAATTTTAAACTAACCATAAAATTAGTAAAATTACCTATATTATACAGCTATTATGGTTTACATCACACCATAAGTTTAAATCATGTTTAATTACATAAAATTAAATCAACGATTTTCTGTATAATTGTGCATAATACAATATCATTTCCTGTTTGACAGCTTTTAACATAACAAAAGAACAACTAAATAAAAAACAGCTACAATATTTTATATATTTTTTTAATGTTTAAATATATATATATATATATAATTCATAAATTAAATGATGAATTCTGAAAGATAATTCGATGAAAACTTATGTGAAGTTCCTCAAAAATAACAAATTAAATAAAACACAATATTTGAAAGTGAAAATTATTGTGAACATAAATATACAACAAAAGAAATAAAAACAAAATATTCATAGAAACAAAAATGCCACGACAATGAGTTTAAAATTTTAAAAAAAAAGTACATAAATATACAATAAACTTACTCCGAAAACTTTCTACTGTCATTTGTCAGTATACAATTTAACTCAAAGTTATCAGAGCGTTTCGAAGTATAAATAGGTCATAATATTACCAGTACATAAAAGATAAATTGAAAGAAATAATATAAAAGAAATCGATCACTAGGATTGAACCACTAGAGTTATATTAAAAATCGATAAATCTCAGAACTTTCTAATATCAAGGCTAAGTAAGGTAATAAAATTCCTGACATTGCGGATGTGCCAACTTGGATGAATGAAAACAGCTGAGAACCATCTGTGACGACCTCCACAAAGAAAAACGCAAAAATATCACGAATTATTCACACTAATATTCAAATTCAGGGTTTTGTTTAAAGGTTATGTATAATAATTGAAACACTTACTTTCGCTGAAATTTAAGACATATCTCCCAGAGCGTTGGCATGTATTCCTTGCTTTGTTTATTTGATGTTGTCAAAAACCTGCATAAGCCAAAACATCGTGAACATGAGTATTGACCTTCTGACATCATTGCTTTCAGCGCCACGTATTAGCTGTTTAGAGAAACAACTGTTTTCACAGGTAAAAGTGAGAAAAATTCACCTGAGAAAACTCTTATTGAATTTTTTTTTTATTTTTTCATTATTATGATTCAAGAATTTGAATCTATTGCGATATTTTTTTTTTAGATCAAATTGCTCGCACAAGATGGAAAAGAGCAATTTCAAAGGTTTAGAAGCATTATTCCAATAACTTAACTGTAACCGCTGTTTTAATATTTGGGTGGCTAAAAGTTTTTGTGGTGATAATGCGAATGGCGATTCAATGATAAATTTGTTTTAAAAAAGTACAATTTAAGCTTATTTAATGTCTTTAATCGGAATTTCTTTCTTAGAATGAGGCCATTTTTTCCAATTTTGAAACTGATACTTCTCTGCGTGTTTTAGACTGACGTGATAAAGTTCCTATAAATAGCATTTTCAGAAATTCTTTTTCTTCTTCTTTTTTTTTCTTTCTTCTTCAACCTGGTTAGCATTATTTTTTATACGGGAAGGAATTTTTTCATTTAAATATAAAGCAATTATTCTTTTAAAAAATGCTAAAAGGTGATGTTTACGTCTTTTTCTCATAGAGCTCTTGATTTTAAAAACAAATTGAAAAATTTACTTATACGAACAAAATATAAAAAAAAGAGGATGAAGAGAAACTTTGAAGTATCACAAAAATTTGGAGGTTAAACCAAATATCATATAACTGTAAGTCAAAGCATTTTTTTTTTTTTTTTTTTTTTTTTTTGTGAATTTCAAAGTTTAAATTTTGTTGCAAAGGGTGAAATAATTTCAATTCAAAACTTACGAAGTAAATTATAAATTCTTTTTAAAAAATAAATCAGGGCAGTTTAAAAAATCTGTGTATAAAATCGAGAGATAATTTAATAGCTGTGTCTCAAAGCAACTGTGTGCAGCATTAATGTTATCGGATAAATAAAACATTTCACCCTATAAATATCCCTCCCCTAAATAAAAACATAATTTATTGATTAGAATAAAAATAAATTTTAACAAAAAATAAAAATGATTGAACATTGAAATTACAACTAAATAAGTAAATAAAATATTTTAAGAGAAAAGGAAGCAGAATAATTTGTTTATTTATAATGTGTAATTTATACATACTTGTTAATAGAGGCTTTAAAGTCTCTATTAAGAAGCTTTATACTGGTTATTCCATATCATTAGGATGGACGGAAAAATTACTAAAGCTGTTTAGATTCAAAACGCTATAGTGTGGAAAAGATGCCTTATTATATTAAAAGAAAAAAATTTAACGTAAAATATTATAAAATCGGTTAATATTTTCCAGTCACGCATCGCTCTTGAAGTTTTATTAAATTTTTTAATGCCAGTCAAAATTGTAAAATTGACATGCTACAGTCTCCTCTGCTTTATGTGTGGTTTAAAAAAGAACAATATGATAAAATATAATTTTTTAAAGATATATTAAATGAAGTTAGCAAAATTAATTTCCTATTCTATGTTTCAATGAAATATCATATAAAAAAGTAAAACAAATTATTATTAATGGTTATTAACAGCTAAGAGTGTGGAAATAATTTTTCAATTTACTGTGTTTTTTTCTTGGTACAGTCGTGAGGAATTAGCTATTTATAAATTCCAGATGTGTTATTAGCTTCATTAATATTTAAATCATATCTAGAATTTTTATGTGTTTCACTTTTCCTGAACAATTGAAACTAAAAACAGCAATCACTATTTCCCATGGCAATGATTCAAATGTTTAGCACAAATATTTTGTGGTAATTAATTCGGTATCAATACTTTTGAATTGAATTTTTTTTGTTACTTACGTTAAATATTTGCACAATGACTTACATTTGATATTTGTTTCAGTTCACAATGATTTACATATGAAATAATTTTTCCTAACTGACAATTATGTTAATTTTTTTACTGTGCCTTGCGCTTTAATTGAATGCCAGATCTATTTCGCATAAAATAAACAGTAATGAACTGTGTAGATTTTATTTCTCATGATTGAAGGAATAACCATTTAGTAAAATATCCTTCGGTTATTTTTATAATTTTCTGAAGTACTAATATAATTATTTTGGTTGTTTTAATTATTTTTAAAGGACATTTCATGCTATTTTTAATGCAAGCATTTGTTTGCATATTTTCAATGCATGTAATGCATGTCTGAGTTTGCCGAATGTCAGGAAAAATTTCATGATATCCTGAAAAATAAAAAATTCCGTTTGATTACAGATATTTTATTTCAGTAACCCCTGTAACCACTTATTAGTATCGTCCGATAAATGAATTAATTTTGATGTTTTTAGTTTTACCTTTACCTCTATAAAGATTTCTCTGCGTTTGAAATTTTTTTTTCCTTTTAATTAGTATTGAACCTGTGATCCTTATTGTGTAGAATCAAATAAATCTATTTTTGACAAGGATTCTAAAAATAGTTATGAAAGCTGGTTATTTCCAACAAAGTATTTATTACAAAGTATTCATTATTTTTTTTAATTGCTGAATGAGATGAAGTTACAAGTATATTGAATCTTATTAGAGGTAGCACGGAAACAGGTTTCCCCTGCAAAATTTCTTATTCAGCTCTATCACTCAATCCATTATTCAAATCAAGAACAAATATACAAGTACAAGTATACAAGTATGTTAAATGTCTAACGAAATTTATGATTCACTTTATTTTAACTTTCAGATAATGTCATTTAAAAAATAATAATAAAATTTGTTTAATATACAAGCATGCATGGCAGACAATATTTGATTTCTTAAAAAAAGGACACGAATTATGTATTTTTCTGGTCAAAAATAATTTTATGTAAAATAATATTTTCTTTTCAGATAGATGTTCATTCCACGTATTCACGATCGCAACGCTTGAACACGCCCTCCAACGGGTAGTGTCTTTTCAGGCTTTTATTTATTAAGTTTTCATTCAGTTCTATCAGAAACATTGGCAGAGTTGACGTCATTTTTTTAGCAACAAATAAGAAGAAAAATTTACCTAAGGAAAAGACAGAAGAACTTGAAAAAAAAAAAAAAAAATAAACGACCCAGAACATTGATAAATCTTTCTGAGGCAGAACGCGTCCAACATTTGAAGAACAAATTCTCAGTAATTTTTACCTTACTATTATCAACAAACTTGCAACCTATAACTTCCGATTTCCGGATGGCATATTGTTACAGATGCGTGTACTGGTAAAATACTTTTTTTGCTTCAATTCATTACAAGTTAAAGTGAAGTCAACATTGCTAACTTCATTCCAATAAATTGTAATAGTTATAGAATAATCTTCTTGTTAGAATAGTATACATTTCTGAATCTATATAATTCGGAAAACAACAATAAAGAATCATCCAATTTACTTGAAATAGTATCATTTGTGTTCATTATTCATAAGTTCCTGGTAAGTACTTTTTAATTTTGAAAGAATAATTTCAACTAGAATTCAGCTATTTTGTTTTTATGCTACATATTTAAATTTATATCGAGATCTTACAATTATGAAATTTTGTTGTGTGGTAAGTTATCTAAAAGTAATGAAGGGATAGTCTATGTATATATTATTTGAAAATAAAATTTTCAAACAAAGAATATTTCATTTGGAATTCTCCTGCTTTATAAAGCAAGTAAGTGTTATGATTTTTACAATAAAAGTTTTACTTTTAAATATTTTTTTTCTAATTAGATGATAGTTCTCTACTGAATGGTTTTCTGCGTCTGATTAAGAACTTAAGACTAGAAAAAAGAAAAAATATGAAAGTTTTTTACTTCAATATGAGGAATTTTTAGAATAATTTTTTTCCTTAATCGTAAGCATTCTTTATTTCACGTTTTTTAGTTTATAAATAATGATTTTTTATTGAAACTTTAAATTTTTTGATAAAAACTGTTAAAAAACTTATTTTTCAAAATTAAATAGTGTAACTTTATGTACTTGCGTTTACTTTTTGCATGATTTTAATGTTTCAAGTAATATGATTAGGAAAAGTATGGAATGTAAAATTTAAACAGACCTTTCACACTAGATCATTAAATTTAGTAGAACGATTTCTAAGGCATTAGGTTTTAACTCTAATTACAAGAATTTTTACAAACATTTTCCAATGTGGTTTGGATGTTCCTTCTTTAAAAAAAGATATTCCAATTTGTTTTCACTTGCATACGAAAGAATATCATAATTTTTTTTAACAATTTAATAAGCCGCAATAAAGAACCATGCTACACAGAAGAAATCTCCACTGCAACCACTAGTGTTGTTTTGGTAGCCGGAATTCGTCCCAAATAACAACGCCCCCTATAGGTCGTTGCGTTCGCGAATAGTTGATTGTTATGCTAAGTGCAGTTGTGTTATCGTTTGCTATTATATAAAACAAATGTCATTTTCTTCTCTCACTCTCATTTCTTTTTCTTTGAGAAATAAGCAACATTTTTAATTTTGAACTTAAAATTATATCATATGAATTTCCTGACATTCGAAAAATAATTTTAAGTGTTTTTTTCTATTCAAAAATAAAGCTGGCATTGACTGAGATAACTTTTACAGATTGACATCTTCCTAAATCATTATAACCATTTTAGCAATAATGATAATGATAATAATAATAATAATAATTTGTTTCCATAACATCGAAAAAATTTGCAAAAAATAGCAATTAGCACACAATGACATAGAATCAAATTAAACAGGCTAAGCACATTAACACAAGAATATGATCAAATAAAGGCAAAAAAAAATCTAGATTTGTACTGCCGAAGAGTATTCTAATGCAGGCAGCGACAAAAAGTTTATACGTAAACATTAAGCACAATGAAAAAAAAAAATTAAATTATGAAGATATGGTAAAAAATGTTCCATATATCTTCATACCATATAATATTATACCATTATCATACAGCATTATATAATAACTTTTAAAAAATAGTTGTTGCGTAAAATTTAACATTGCATCGTAAAATATTTGATTATACAAAAGAAATTCTTTAAATCTTTTATGTTTAAAGGAA